ACCCACCAACATGCCCAGCTAATTTTTGTATATATAGATATATATTTAGTAGAGATGGGGTTTCACCATGTTGGCCAGGCTGGTCTTGAATTCCTGACCTCTGGTGATCCGCCTGCCTCGGTCTCCCAAAGTGCTGGGATTACAGGCGTGAGCCACCACACCCGGCCTTATTTATTTTTGCGATGGAGTCTCTCTCTGTCATCCAGGCTGGAGTGTAATAGCACAATCTGGGCTCACTACAACCTCTGCCTCCCGGGTTCAAGCGATTCTCCTGCCTCAGCCTCTTGAATAGCTGGGATTACAGGCACGTGCCACAATGCCCAGCTAGTTTTTGTATTGTTAGTAGAGATGGGGTTTCACGTTTCACCATGTTAGCTAGACCAGTCTCAAACTCCTGAGTCAGCTGATCCACCCACCTCAGCCTCCCAAAGTGCCAGGATTACAGGCATGAGCCACTGCATCCGGCTTTTATTTTTGGAGACAGAGTCTTCCTCTGTCACCCAGGCTGGAGTGGTGTGATCATAGCTCACTGCAGCCTCAACCTCTTGGGCTCAAGCAATCCTCCCACCTCAGCCTCCCAAGTAGCCGTCATGCACCGCCACGCCCAACTAATTTTTAAATTTTTAGTAGAGTCAGGGTTTCACTATATTGCCCAGGTTGGTCTTGAACTCCTAGGCTCAAGCCATCCTCGTGCTTCGGCCTCCCAAAGTGCTGGGATTACAGACGTGAGCCACTGCACCTAGCTAATTTTAAAAAATTTTGTGTAGAAACAGGGTCTTGTTTTGTTGCCAGGCTACTCTGAAACTCCTGGCCTTAAGCTATCCTCCTGCCTCAGCCTCCCACAGTGCTGGGACTACAGGCATGTGCTAACCCTGGCCTGCTTTTTAATTACTTCCTTCTTCAAATGAATTTGGGGAAATCTATCAAGACCAAGTACAGTAGTGAGTGACAGGAAGGTCCAACTCAACTACAGTTTATGAAAACCAACTGTCCTCAGGTCAGAGGCATCCTGAGGCAGGTGGCTCAGGGCTGGTCCAGCATCTCCCCAAGGCCAAGGACACTTAAGTCCCACCAGCTTCCTTCCTCCTCTCCGTCTCCTCAGTCCCTCAGCAGTGCTGTTGGAGCAAGAAGCAAAAATCACTGGTGGGGCCGGGCGAGATGGCTCACGCCTATAATCCCCGCACATTGGGAGGCTGAGGTGGGAGGATCACTTGAGCCCAGGAATTTGAGACCAGCCTGGGAACGTAGGGACACACCATCTCTACAAATATTAATAATTAACAAATTAGCCAGGCATGGTGGCACGTGCCTGTAGTACCAGCTACTCAGGGGGCTGGGGCAGGAGGATCACCTGAGCCTAGGAGGTCAAGGCTACAGTAGAGCTATGATCACATGACTGTACTCCAGCCTGGGTGACAGAGGGAAGAGAAAGGACAGGAAGGGAAGGGGGGTAAAAGGAATGGAGGGGAAGGGGAAGGAAGGGAAGGGAAAGGAAGGAAAGGGAAGGACAGAGGAAAGGAAAGGAAAAAGGGAAGGAAAGGGAAAGAAAAGCAAAGAAAGGGAAGGGAAGGGAGGGAGAAGAAAAAGAGAAAGGAAGGAAGAAGGGAGGGAAGGAGGGAGTAAGGAGGGAGAGACGGAAGGAAGGAAAAAAGAAAGGAAAAGAAATTATCTGTGGACGAGGTAGAGGAATAAATTGAGTCTTGGATTAAGTATCAGGTCAGGACAAGAGGAGATCCAAGGAGATGCTGGGGTGATTTGGGATCCCTGCCTCACAGGGTGGAGGGTTCTAAGGCTGGGATGGAGCTGTTGACTCTCTGTTATACACCCTCCTCCTCCCCTGGGGTCCCTTGCCCTCCACATTATGGGTGGATTTGGGCCATGGGCAGCACTGGCAGGTGACAGCGTGCGGAAGGGCAAGGTTGGGGAACTCTCTTGCCCCACGCTGTCCCTCCATAATCACAGTGCCCACCAGGTGAACCCCTCTTTATACCTCCACCTCCCTCCAGGCCCTTTCCTGTTCCTGCAGGGCTACGGGTGGCAAAGGCCTGGTGCCTTCACATTCCAGCTGCTTCAATTTACCTGGTGCATTAGTCCGTTTTCACGCTGCTATAAAGAACTGCCCAAGACTGGGAAATTTACAAAGGAGAGGTTTAACTAACTCACATGGCTGGGTGCAGTGGCTCATGACTAATCCCAGCACTTTGGTAGGCCAAGGCAGGTGGATCACGAGATCAGGAGTTCGAGACCAGCCTGACCAACATGGTGAAACCCCGTCTCTACTAAAAATACAAAAATTAGCTGGGTGTGGTGGCGGGCACCTATAATCCCAGTTACTGGGGAGACCGAGGCAGGAGAACTGCTTGAACTTGGGAGGTGGAGGTTGCAGTGAGCTGAGATGGTGCCACTGCACTCCAGCCTGGGTGACAGAGCCAGACACTGTCTAAAAACAACCCCCACCGGGCAAAAAACTAACTCATAGTTCCACATGGCTGGGGAGGCCTCAGGAAACTTACAATCATGGCAAAAAGGGAAGCAAACGCTTCCTTCTTTACATGATAGCAGGAGGGAGAAGTGTGGAGCAAAGGGGAAAAAACCCTTATGAAACCATCAGATCTCATGGTAACTCACTCACTAACATGAGAACAGCATGAGGGGAACAGCCCCCATGATTTAATTACCTCCCACCAGGTCCCTTCCATGAAACGTGAGAATCAGAACTAAAATCCAAGATGAGATTTGGGTTAAGGACACAGCCAAACCATGACACTGCTTTTGGTTAATTGTCCTCTAGTCAGAGCCTTTCCTGGGAAGCGCCTGGGGGCAAATGCGTCTTCCTGCGGAACCAGAAAGATCAGGTAGGGTGAGGAAGGGTCTAATCTAGGGATTGAGGATTCAAAAACTTAGATACCCACAGGACAGTCAGGCAGTGTCATTCAGACACGGGCCTGGAGGAAGGGGACAGGGAGTGGTGGGCACTGAGGGCTATGGCCATGCCCAGTCCCACCCACAGTGGCTGCTTACTCCTCAGGCTGTACTGGCTGGTGCGCTGCAAACCAGGGGCCATGTGTTGCCAGAACTTCTGATTTTTCAAATTTTACTCATTATTAGAGATGGGGTTTCACTCTGTTGCCCAGGCTGGAGTGCAGTGGTACAATCATAGCTCACTGCGGCCTTGACCTCCTGGGCTCAAGCGATCCTCCGGCCTTATTTTCCCAAAGTGCTGGGATTACAGGTGTGACCCACCTTGGCCCCCCAGAGTGCTGAATTTATAGGTATGAGACCATGCATTAGGGCCTAGTTTTTCTTTTTCTTTTTTCTTTTCTTTCTTTTTTTTTTTTTTTTTTTTAACAAGAGTGGGACTCTTAATTTTTAAATGTTATTACAGTAACTTTAAGACATTTTAAAACACCAGGAGCCAAGCAACATCACTGTTAGGGTTTGATTCAAGGGGTTAGGGCTGTACCCCTCTGTGAGACAAAGGTTTGAGTCTTCCTCTCCTCTGGTGGCATGCACTTGTAGTCCCAGCTGGGACGGGGTCTTGCCCTGTTGCCCAGGCTGGAGTGCAGTGGCACGGTCTAAGCTTACTGCAACCTCCACCTCCCGGGTTCAAACGATTCTTCTTCCTCAAGCTGGGACTACAGGTGCATGCCACCAGGACCAGCTAATTTTTGTATTTTTAGTAGAGACGGGGGTTCACCATGTTGAACTCCTGACCTCCTGATCTGCCCACCAAGGCCTCCCAAAGTGCTGGGATTACAGGCGTGAGCCACTGTGCCCGTGAGCCACTGTGCCCGGCAGAGTCCTCCTCTATCTCTTGCCCAGTCAGGCCTGGGGCCCTCACAGAAAAGCACCAAGAACAATGGTGCAGGTGGGCTGGGAGCTGCGGAAGGGACCTGGGCCACACCATTCGAGGCCGAAGACAGACCTCTGACTCCACCGATGCCAGAGCTCATCCTCAGCCCCCAGCTGCACCCCTTGGGAGTAGATGCAGACGGGGTTGGGGGTGGCCGCTGAGCGCACTGACCCCTCCCCAGGCTCCTAGGGTCGCCTGTCATTTCTGCCCTCACACTGACCATTCCCTTTGCCTAGATAATCGCTTCCCTGCCGGTGACTCCACGTCCCTCCAAGTGCGGGCTCCATAACCCCAGGCCCCTCCTGCACTCAGCCGCCACAGCCCACCCTACCCGTGAGTCCTCTGCCCGTCCCTCCGCCCTCCTCACCCACAAGACGTTCACCCCACTCGAGCCCTGGGTCTGGCGGAGACGTGGACACCTGACCCTCTCCCGACCACAAGGGTCGTCGCCTCCCTCCACCGTCCTGGGGTCCAGGGCAGGCCCCGTGGACGCTCGGAGAGGGCCCAGCACGGGTCCGGGTCCTCAGCGGGCGCCCCTTGATGAACGAGGCTGCGCCGGGGTTCCGAGAAGGCGATGGTCGTCGCGGCGGGACCTCGAGGTCACCGAGGTGTCCAGGAGCGGGGGCGATGTCGTGGGCGCCCCACGAGTGTCAAGGGCGCTCCGGTCCCCTCCCCACACGTCCCGTCCTCGCCAGGCCAGAGGCTCAGATGGGCCAGCGCCCCTCCAACCCGCGCTTCCCGGTTCTGCGCCGTGGCCCCCGCGTGACCGGAAGTTCCTCCCCCCGCGGGGACGGGCGGGGCGGGGCTGGCCGGCGGCACTTCCGGTGCCCACGCGCCGCCGCCGCCGCGCAGCTCCCCGGCCGTCACTTTGTGTAGCGCGGGGCCCGCCGCCGGCCAGCAGGCCCCTGCCCCAGTGTCCGGCCCGCGGCTTGGCCAGCCCGGACCGCGCGGTGAGTGGGTCTCGCGGGGCCAGTGGGCGGCGGCGCGGGTGGCAGGTGCGGGCGGGCCGGGCTCACGCTCGGGGTCGGCGGCGGCGGCAGCGGGGCTCGGTTGGCCCTCGACGCCCGGCGCGGGGAGGCCGCGGGGAGGCGGCGGGGCCGGGGTCTGAGGGGCCGGAGCGGAGCTCGGGTCAGGCCTTCAGCGGCAGCGCTCCCGCCTCCCGGACCCCCGCCCGGGCCTGCGCGTTGCGGGCGGGCGCCGACCCCCGGGGTTCCAGGCAGAAGGAGGAGGGGGCAGGCCGGGGAGGCTACGCGCGACACCTCGGGGTGCCCGCCCACGCCTTCTCCGCCGCAGCAACAGTGGCTGGGCCCCGGCCGCCCCCGGGACACACCCATCCAGGAGGGGCTGTCACCGTCTGGGTCTCTGCAGGAGGCGGAGAGTCTGGACGCCACCTGCGGGGCGGGAGGCGCTCGGCCGTCGCCCCAGGAGCCCGCTTTGTGACCTTGGGGGCCTTGTCTGGGCTTTACCCTTATCTGCAGAAGAAGCCCCCGTGGGCTACTCGGCCGTCTTCTGCTGCTGGCAGGTGGGTAGGGAGGGACACCTATCCCTGGGATTGGATGGGGTCTGGGCTGTCCCGCTTGGCAGCAGAGGTAGGAAAGGGGCTGGCCTCTGGTTGAGAACCCGATGGGCAAGGGGAAGTGCAGGTACCAGGAGGGTCAGTCCCCCAGCTCTCCTTGTGTGGGGTGATTTTGGTGCTTGGTTTGGTTCAACAAGTGTGGGCCGATCTCCGGAGCCGAATGGGATGGCCAGGGGCTACCCTGGGGGACTTGGGATGGCCCCCGTGGAAATACCTGCCTCAGGAGCAAACCCAGGAGGGTAGAGTGATCCAGGATCCGAGGACAGATAGTGAGGATTGTTGTGGTTGGGGAAGAAGGACCTCCAGGAGGGCATGAAGACCCGAAGAGCTCGGAGGGCTGGTTGGGGGGTTACCCAGAGGGAATGAAGGGGACTAGTCACAAGCGTACCCACATGTCTCCTCCCACTCTCCGAGTTCGGTTTCCCTGGCTTTGGAGCTTTTGTGGAGAATTTCTATCCACTTTTAAGCTTTGCCTCTTCCTGTCCTTGCCTCCCTCCCTGCTCCTCTTGGAAGGTGCCTTGTCACCTTCGACTGTAAATGTTGTCTGCAGCACCATATCCTAGAGTGCAGGGCCCTGGTAGAAATGAGGATTTGGGGCCGGCTCAGTGGCTCACGGCTGTAATCCCAGCACTTTGGGAGGCGGAGGCCGGGTGGATCATCTAAGTTCGGGAGTTTGAGAAATGAAGGTTTGCGATGACGTTGATGAGGCCCCCTGTGGCCTCTGACCCAGAGTTGGATGCAGAGGGAGAGGTGAGCAGTGTTTACAGTGGGCCGGTAGGCTGGCAAGAGGAGGGAAAGAGTGCGGGCCTGGGCTAGGCAGAGATAACCCAGGGCGAGTTGCTGGAATCTAAACTCTGTCCGGCCCTCTGAGGTCCATTTTTCAAAGCATTCTGTTCTGAATCTTGGGTTGGGGTGATGTCTGGCTGTGCTGCTGACCTCTGTAGGAGCTGATCCTCCATCTTCTCTGGTCATCAGTGGGTGGACCTCTTGGGAGAGAGGACTTAACTCGGTGTCCTCTTTGGAGGCAGAGACTCTCCACTGCTTCTGGGTGAGTTCCAATTGAAGGATCCCCCCTACTGCCCGACCCCAGCAGTGGTCAGTCTGTTCTGGAACAGAACAGTAGGGCCAAAATGCTGAGTGTAAAAAATTCTATGTTCCTCACATTGGCTGTTGACTTTAGAGTCATTCTTTCAGTAAGTATTTGAATGCTTCTTTCAGACGCAAGCAAAGGGAGCTCTTGCTGCCCTGGAGTTGACCATATGCAGGGAGAGAGATCATAAGACAGTCTCATAAGTGTATTTTTAAAATGTGGCGCATGCTGTGAGGGAAGAATTACAGGGAACCATGTCACCCCCTGGGGCCCAAGGGGCTGCGTTGGAAGATCATCCAGGAAGAGGGGAAGAGAGTTCCGGGGATGGGGAACAGCACACACACAGGTCCTGAGATGGGATGAACATGGGGCCACTTTATTCCAAAGCCGTGAAGTTTTCTTTTGTTGTGTTCTCATGTATGGCACCCTGGCTCTGGGAGTTTAAAGTTGTTGCTTCAGGTGGTGGCTAGGCAGGAGACAGCTCTGCTGGGCTTGGTATGGCACCTAGGCCCGGCCTGAATCTGCAGCCTGAGGCCTGACTGAGAAAAGCCCTCCTCTGGGCCTCCAGTGGGTGGCAGTTGGGAAACCATTGCTGAGTGTTCCCAGTGCCCTGAGTGCTGGGCAGGGCTGAATCCTCCTGGAGGTGGCTAGCATAACACGTAGCACATAGATTTCAACACTGTGGGAATCTTCACACGCCAAAGAGCTGTGGACACTGAGGAGGCCGGCTTCCGGGAAAGGCTGGTGGTTGGGGTGGCGCTCCCAGGCGTAGTTCTGTGACCCGAGTCTTTGGGGTCAGTGATTCTGAAACTAGAAACGGTGCTGGAGCCAGTGAGGTGGGCACATGTGACTTTTGGGACAGAGGTGGTTTCTGGATGCCTATGTGTCCCAGCCCTTGACTTGAGTGAGCCTGCGTGAATGCTCAGAGCTTCCTGGCTATTAAAGTGTGGATTTAAAGCAGCTGCTCGAAGCAGTTTAGGAAATGAGTATGTGCAGCTGATGGTTTGGGTGTCTGTCCACGTGGTAGGCTGTCCTCACATTGCTCTAAAGAAATACCTGAGACTGGGTACTTCGTAAAGAAGAGGTGAAATTGGTGCATGGTTCTGCAGGCTGTACAGGAAGCATGATGCTGGCATCTGCCTGACTTCTAGGGGGCCTCAGGAAGCCTTTAATCATGGTGGAAGGTGACCGGAAGTAGGCATGTCACATGGCAAAAACAGGAACAAGCAAGAGAAAGTGAGTGGGGAGGCGCCATACACCAGATGTACTGTGAATTCAGAGCGAGCACTCACTCATTACTCACTGTCTCCAAGGGGATGGCCCAAGCCATTCCTGAGGAATCCGCCCCCATGAGCCAGTCACCTCCTATCAGGCCTCACTTCCAGCATTGGGGATGAGGGTTCAACCTGAGATTTGGGTGGGGGCAAACATCCAGGCTCTCTCTGTCCCTTCCAATCCCATGTTGAAGCGTGATTTCCAGTGTTGGAGGTGGGCCTGGTGGGAGGTGACTGGCTCATGGGGGCGGATCCCTCATTAATGGTTTAGTGCCATCCCTTGGTGGCAAGGGAGTTCTCAGTTCACAAGAGATCTGGTTGTTTTAAAAGAGTCTGGGGCTTCCTCCCTCTCTCTCACTCCCCCTTTGCCTCCCTCCATGAGTGGAAGCTTCCTGAGGTTCTCCCCAGAAGAAGGTGCCGGTGCCATGTTGGTGCAGCCTGTAGAACCGTAAGTGAATTAAACCTCTTTTCTTTATGACTTACCCAGCCTCAGGTATTCCTTCATGGCAATGCAGAAACGGCCTAACGCAGCTGCCTAATTGGTGGAGAAGTGATGGGTACAGAGGGAGAGTTAATTGCAGGGCAGCTTTTTCCCGTGTCCATAAGAACACCATTTGTGGTCGTCTGGACTGTTCTTGCCAAGGGCACTCGGTCTTGTTTTAGGAGTTCTGTGGCAGACACTGTCCACTGCTAGAGCTGGATGAGCTGGGCTGGGCCCAGTGCTCTGTGTGGCCAAGTGGCCTGACATTCCAGGATGCCTCTGGGGCTCATGCCCTCACCCCCTGGATTCTGGGCTTGGCTCGCTTTAGAAATGGACCTGTTCAGGCCAGAGACACTGATGGTTCGTGTCCTGGGTGATGGGCCTGGTCTCAGGTTTATACCCAGAAAGGAGCCCCAGAAATAGACTCATCAGTGCTGTGACTCTGCCCTGCCCTTTAGGACCCCACAGGGGCTGGTGAAGGACGTGCAGTTGGGAGGGGTGAGAGGTCCCAGGGCCAGCACCTCCCATCCTGCTGTGTCCATGGTCCTGGACCCTGTGTCAGTGTGGTTGCCTCTCCTCTGAGCTTCTGGGCTGAGCAGTCCCTGACGTCAGTGGGAGAGTAGGATCCTGTAGCCTTTGGGGCTTTGGCAACTCAGCTCTTAGGAGTGTCTGATCCCCAAACTTGAAATGTCACAGGGCATTTCCTGTCCTTCTGATGGTCCAGCGATGGGCCTCCACCATGCGCTGTGCTTTTCACAGAGCGAGGGCTGAGGACACATCAGGGTGATGCTGGCTCATGGCCCCTGCTCTCCCGTGTCCTGCAGGAAGGAGCCTGACCTGCCGGCTTCCTGGCGCCTGTGTCTCCTCCCAGCCCTGTCATGCCTTACAAGTGCCTTTAGCCTGTCTGTGCTGAGAGCTCTTTGCGTTCCCTGCTGGCCTGGTTCATGTGTGTTGAGGACGAGGTAAGCGTCTCTTTGTCCTGTGTATCAGGTGAGCTTTTCCTTCTGGCTAAGCTTGGCCCCTCCAGCTAAACATGGGCCACCCTTGGGCTGTGTGATGCTTCCCTGGGGATAAAGACTCTGGGATAAATGCCTCATTTACTCAAGGAAAGAACAGCAGTTCACACCAGGCACACAGTTCTTGTGAAAAGAAGCTGAGACTGGCATCCCAGGGTCATGCGGAGTCCCTGTGAGGGGACCCGTATGGTATGCTGAGAACAGCCCATCACTGGCGCCTATCTGCGTTTCAGGCCGTGCGGAGGCTCGCTCCCAGGGAGGATGGCGGCACTCCACACGACTCCTGACTCCCCAGCTGCCCAGCTGGAGCGGGCAGAGGATGGGTCAGAGTGTGACCTTGACCAGGAGGAAGAGGAGGAAGAGGAGGAAAAGGGGAAAGAGGCACAGGAGGTAGAAGAGGAGGAGGAGGAGATAGTGGTGGAAGAGGAGGAGGAGGCTGTGACAGAGGTGGTGGAGGACTCGCAGGTGGAGGAGGACGCGCAGGTGGAGGAGGTGGCCGAGGTGGAGGTGGAGGCGGACGTGGAGGAGGAGGAGGAGGACGTGGAGGAGGTGCTGACAGAGGAGCAGCAGCCAACGTTGGGGACCCAGGAACGACTTAGCCATGGTGGTGATGCCAAGTCCCCAGCTCTGCAGGAAAAGGGTAAGAAAAGCAGCCAGCTTTAGGGAGAAAGTGAAGGGAGCTGGGGTGGGCCAGGCCAGGGACCTGGTCAAGCCAGGGAGGGCTCTTGGGCTGACAGGGTGGAGCCTGGCTTTGCAATGAGGGTTTCATTGGGGCTTCTGGCCCTGTAGGCCAGGGGCTCAGGGCAGCTGGCCCTCAGAGATCTCTCCCCATAGGCCTGCAGGCCTCCCGGGTTCCAGTCACTCCTAGGGATGAGGACCTGGAGGAGGAGGAGGAGGAGGAGGAGGAGGATGAGGACGAGGACGAGGATGATTTACTGATGGCTGGGTCTCAGGTGAGCTGCCCTCTCTGTTTGGGGCTTGGATGACCCAGGCAGGGTTTCCCCTGGGACCTTGGCACCTGCTCTCTGGAGACTTGTGTTGGCAGAGGCCACAGCACTGGAATCCCCAGGCTGGGCCCAGGCCCTGAGCTGGGAGGGGGCTGTGGGAAGCGGCTGGGTGTCCAGCCCCAAGGCTGGGGCTGTGGTCCTGCTCTTGTGGAGCCTGGCCCCTCCCAGCTGTTGGGTTGTCCTGATCGCTTTGGCTGCCACCCACTCAACGGCGCTGTGCACAGTGACTTCAGAGGCCTGGCTCTCTCCCAAGGCTGGCCGCTCCCTCACCTGGAGTGCTTGTCACATGTCCAGGGTCTGGTTTCCTGCTGCCCAGTCAGGTTGGGCGCCAGTGCCCACACCCAGTTTAGTTGCTGTCGCTTGTCCACCTAGGAGTGGGCCCTCCATGATCGACATGGCCACTGCAGTGGCTCAAGGCGGATTATGTGAAGAGGGGGTCTGGGGGTGGGGCTCATTGTCTCCTTACTTTTACGTGAGACACAGCTCTGCTGTATGAGCTGGGTCATTCACTCTCTTTGAGCTTGAGTCCCCAGTCTCTGGCTGGGATTAGGTTCCTGTTTCCCAGGGCTGTGGCAAGGCCTGAATGCTCCAAGTGCCATCTGGGCATCTGTGTTCCCCTGACACCCACGCTGGAGGGCCTCAGTGGTCTGAATCTTCCGTGGCTGTCTGTAAAGGGCTCCCTCAGCCTGTCACCTGCGGCCCTGTGTTTCCCAGGGGCTGGTGACCTTTGAAGATGTGGCTGTGTACTTCTCCCTGGAAGAGTGGGAGAGGCTGGAGGCAGACCAGCGGGGCCTCTACCAGGAAGTCATGCAGGAGAACTATGGGATTCTAGTGTCCTTGGGTAAGGATGGGATCTTGTGCCCCCAACAGGCAGCCTGGTATGATGGCTGCCAGGGCCTTAGCTGTCTGACAGGGGGAGCTTTTCAAATCCCAGGGTCTTTGAAAATGTGGATGCTGGGGCCAGCCCACCTCCCAGGGAAGCCCTAGGACCCCATGGGCCCTGGGTGGGGTGGGGGATGTCCTAGGGCTGCACTGGCCAGGCAGCGCCCTGAGCCAGGTGACACCTCTGTGGAGGCAGTCTGGCTGTGGTCTCTGCTGCATGGCCCCTGAAGCCTCCAGGATGAGGAGGTGGGTGAGGGAGGAGAAGGGGTGTGGGCATCTTGCAGTGGAAGGTGTTGAGGGGACTTGGTGGGACGAGAGCAGGGGAGGACAGGGAACGCTTCAGAGGGAAAGGACCACCTGGATCCTCTGGAGCAGGGAAGGGTGGGGAGGGCTGGTGCCAGGGCAAGTGGAGGTGGGGGTTGCTGAGCGGTGGCGCAGCCCAGGCCGTAGGGCAGCAGAGGGTCCAGGGGAACCACCTGCAGCCAGCATCTGATCTCCTGGCAGGATACCCAATCCCCAAGCCCGATTTGATCTTCCGACTGGAGCAAGGGGAAGAACCTTGGGTCCCAGATAGCCCCCGACCTGAGGAAGGAGACATCGTCACCGGTGTCTACACAGGTGAGCGTGTGATGGAATTTTGTGGTTTGTGCCAACAGCTACTCAGAGCTGTTGTCAAACATTGGCCTTCACTGAGTTCTCTGCAGACCTGGTATCTGCTGTCTCTGACTGTGTCTCTGACCATCTGTTCTGAGGGGTCCTCTGTGGACATGGGTGGCTGCCCTGTGCCAACCTCTGCCTTTGCTGACTGGCTCCTGGTGGTTCAAGTTTCAGAGAGGTCTGAGGGCTGTAAGGTCCTTAGACAACGTAGAGGCTCCTTCTAGGAACCTTTAAAAATGATTCCCTGGCTGGGCATGGTGACTCACACCTGTAATCCCAGTACTTTGGGAGGCCAAGGTGGGCAGATCACCTGTGGTCAGGAGTTTGAGACCAGCCTCACCAACATGGAGAAACTCCGTCTCTACTAGAAATACAAAATTAGCTGAGTGTGGTGGCACATGCCTGTAATCCCAGCTACTCGGGAGGCCGAGACAAGAGAATTGCTTAAACCCAGGAGGTGGAGGTTGCAGTGAGCCGAGGTCGTGCCATTGCACTCCAACCTGGGCAACAAGAACGAAAACAACAACAACAAAACAACAAAAACCAAAAAAAAGATTCCGTGCCCTGTGTTGGAGCCTGTGAATTTCTTTGTATGTGAGGGGCCAGCTGTCAGGTGGTTGGCTGAGACAGGGCAGGAGCGGGAGCCCAACACACCATTGTGGAGGCTTTTCTGATGCTAGCCGGTCCTCCTGCTTCTTGGCCCACTTGGCTGTGTCTGGGAATAGGCTCCCCTCAGCCTCCCCTGCTCTCCCTAGAGCACTGCAGGCAGGACTCTGACTGGGGTGAGCAGTTTGGGGCATTCTGGAGAGGAGGTTTTGGAGTGATGGGTGCAGAAGGTGTTCAGGGTCGTGGATTTCCCGGGAAGCCTCAGGCCCAGCTCTGGCTCTGCTCCTTCAACTCCAGGCTGACAGAATTTGTTTCTGGACTGGAGTATGCAAGGCCCAAGTGTGTTCGTCTCTTGGGCTTCTTGATGAATTGGGCCACACATGATGTCTGGGCTCTGGCACTGCCCTCATCAGGGCCTACCCCTCTCGAGGGCTGCTGAAGCCTCGGCCTGCCTTTCAGGCGTGGCTCCACAGTTCCCCCCCTCCTGCCCCTCCCCCATCCTGCCTTTCTCTTTACCTGGCTTAGATCCCCACCCTGGTTGAACCCCATTTTCCACTGGCTCTGGTCTGCACTGGAGCAAGAACGTGCTGGAGAAAATTGTGCCTGTGGGTGCCAGCAGGCCTTATGTGGCTGCCAGTGGCCTTGACCTGGTGGGTCAGCCCTGTACCCCTGTGGGGCTGCCTTTCCACTCCCTGAGATGGACCCCCTCAGCCACTGCAGACTGGCTCTTCTGAGGTCACCTGCCCTAGTAAGGGGCAGGCCCAGTGCCTGTCCTCAGAGGAGGACCCCTCCTTACAGACCTGGCAGCCTGGCCAGGGTCACGCAGCTGGTTCAGATCCCAGTGCAGAAGCTGAGCCTGAGAGCCCTGCCTCCCCTACGCTGTGGTGTATGGGGCCAGCGGCATCCTCATCTCCCTGACAGATTGCAGAAGGGAGGGCTGCTGATGCCTGTGGATTTGGGCATGTCACCCTTGTCCAGCTCCTCCATTTGTGACTGTCCCCCGTGAGGGAGGGTCTCTCCCTAAGGCCATCTGGAGTTTGTGTCTGGATGGAGCAGGTTACACTGACTGGGTGAGGGGAGGGAGCAGGTGTTGGCTTTACTCAGAACCGACTTCCACAGCCTGCACTCCAGGCCGGGCCCCAGCGTGGGTTCAGAGGGAGAGACACGGTGCTGTTCAGTCAGCCTACTTTGTGGACTTGCTGTGGGGGGCCCGGGTCAGGTTGAGGCTGGAGGGCAGGTTCCAGGCTCCCAGATGGGCACAGGTTGTCCAGGGGTGGGAGTTGTAGATGGTGGCGGCCTGGTGCACTGAGCAGCATCCCTGTGTGATGTTAGATGTGTGTAGGGTCCCATGGCAGGTTGGGACCGTGTCTTCTGTGTGGGCCAGGCATGTGGGTATAGGGCCACTGTCTTCCCCACAGCCCCTTTGATTAGTATCCTACATAGGACCCCCTCCCTGTGCCCAGGGCAGGGCAATTACCAGACGTGTTCCAGGGGCTCTGCTGCTAGGGACATTGGTTGGCCCCTGGGATTATCACTGCCTCCTGCACAGTTAAACCAGGGCCCAGGGACAGAAGCTGGAACGCCTGCTGTTGTGTTGGTAGGATTCTAGGTAATGCACAGCTTTGGTGGTGCAGGTGACACCCCTCCTGATTCTGGGTAATGCCCAGCTTTGGTGGCGCAGGTGACCCCCTCCTGGGTGCAGGGACCTTTGTGCATCCAGGGCTTCCCTGAGGGCCTCGGTGTAGAACCAGCCACTGGTGAGCAGGAGGGCCCTAGTGTGGGCTGGAGGGTGCCCCACCCCTCCTGTCCAGTCCAGGAGGTAGCCTGCTGCCAGGGCTGGCTAGTGGCCTCTCTAGGGTTAGGGACTGCGGCCCAGCCTCCACGAGGAAACGCCCTGGTGGGGATCTGTGACCACCGGTGCCTGATGGCAGGAAGGGAGCATCGCCTGACATTTGGGGGACAACTCAAGTGATGACCAAAGGAAAGCATGGGATGGACAGCAGGGGGCCTCAGCATCTCCACGGATCCATGGTGGCATTGGTACCACCTGACCCTGGGAGCAGTGGAGGTGCCACTGTAGGTGTTTACGGCTGTGCATGTCAACCTTGCCACAGTCCCACCAAGTGGATTGCAGGTGCTGTTACCAACCCATTTTACAGATGGGGAAACTCAGATTAAATGTCTTGCCCAAGGTCCCATGGCCAGTGCGTCATAGAAGTGGAATTCACACCCAGGCAGAGCCCGAGCCCCCCAGCTGCCTCTTGAGGTGAAGCCAAGGAAGAGATGGTGACGGGTCCGGCCTTGTCCCTGCAGTCCTGGTGAACGGAGCAGATGCAGGGCTTCAGGCTGTAGGATTTGCTGTGGTGGGCACAGTGGAGTGGTAAGCCCTTGAGGAACACCTCAGCATTAAGATTCAGAGGGGAATCCTCTAAAGAAGCCACTCAGCTAGGGAGCAGCTGTGCCTGGTGCTGATGCCTGTGGAGGGATGGGGGAAGAGATTGTTCCTGTGACATCCCCAGCCCTAAGGCCTTTAATTCATTCCCTTGGTACCCAGCTGCTGGGGTGGTCTCCCCCTCCATCAGCTTCTGTCACCTGCCGCTGCATAGGAGGGTTTTAGTGTTCCCAGTTCAGGACAGGCTGTGAAGGTCCTCGTGGCTGCACTCTGGAAACTTCTCCCTCCCTAGACAGCTGACTTTGAGCCTCTCATTGGTCTCTGCTTTTTATCCCTGAGCCATGTGGTCCCTCGGGAACTTCCCAGAAGCCTAGCCAAATGTTACCCAAGGTCAGAGTCCTTAGGCCTAAATATGAGGTGCAGGGGAGAGAGACCACCAGCCCCAGGATCTCCTCTTCTCCGCTGTCCCCTGGGTTCTGGAGGAAGCAGGTATATTGGGCGCCATGGGCTGCTGGCGCATGGTTCCTGGCCCATTGCCGTCCAGCTGTTGAGAAACACGTGCCAGCCCCTCCTAGTTAGCCAACGGTTGCCCTGGCTTGAGTCTGGTGAGTCGAGCTGTGAGGAGGCCTCACTTAGATCTGAAAAAGGGCTTTGGATCTAAGAGCCAGCAAACACCCTTGGGGCCTTGTCCCTGGAGTCCTGTTAGTTAGACACCCTCACTCCAGGCTGTTCCCATCCACTGCAACAGAGCCTGGCCTGGGGCAGGCTGGTCTCCCTTTGGGGCCCTTCCCAGGGACCCTGATCCTTCCTGGGAGTTCCCCTCAGAGTGCAGCCAGCTCCGACTTCCCAGGGACTTGGATGCCCTTCCCCACCCACACTTGGTGTCAATGGTGGCCTCTGTCATTGTGCCGTATGCTTGAGTGTGGCTCACCCTTGTCCCAATTGTTGGACAAGTGGCTGTGCCAGCTATAGAGCTGGTGAGAGGTGCCCTCTCTACAGAGCCCACAGGGAGAGGGGGTCCCCACCTACCTCCCCAAGTGAAAGGCTTCCCTGCGGTGCTAAGGATCCAGGGAGAGGTGCTGGGAGGAGCCATTGGGACCTGGCCCTGCCTCCCAGCTCTGCATAGCTGAGACTGTGGCGGGCAAGGCCGCAGTTGGCCTGTGGGGTCCAGCTCTTTGAGGCCTATTATCCAGCAAATGCTCATTGTGTCTTGGCTGGCTCCTGAGGTGCTGACACACCCTGCTACAAAGTCATAGTTGTTCCTAGGATTGAACCTTCCCCGTTTGGCGGGGTCTCTAAACCCAAGACCCGAATCAGAGCCTGAAGGTCAGATCCTTTCCATCTGTCCATCAGCCCCAACTGCCTGGCCCTCTGCCAGCCTCCCTGACCTGTAGGGTTGGGGCATAGGGCTGGGGTGCAGCAGCCTTCCCAGACCTGGGGAGCATTGCAGCCAAAGGGGGAAGGGCGACCAGTGAGGGAGACTGGGCTTTTCTTTACTGCTCTGTGCACAGAGTGGCTGTGGGTGGCAGTTTGAGGTAGACTCAACTTAGTGACAAGAAACCTTTTTCTTTTATTTCAAGCTTACGTTTATTATAATAGTAAACTGCAAAAGTATCACGAAGTGTGAAAGATGAAGTAACCCATTTTCTTACTCTTCCATGATGCGTGTTTTTGCACAGTGAAACCAGGCCCGTTCGGGTCTGTTTTCCCCCACGGCTCTAGATTCCCATATGGAATGCATGTGGGATGCTATAGTGCCAAGGCCATGCAGACTGGCAGGGGCCGGTGTGTGACATGAGGGGCCAGCCCAGGCTCACCAGGACCTCCTGGGCTCTGACTTTCCTCCTAAGGTCAGGATTCAGTGGTCCAGGCTCACCTAGCTAGGTGACAGCTGAAATAGGCCAGTGCCTTGGCAGGGGACCCAGGTAGGGTAAGGAGGAGATTCCCACACCAGCTGTGAGAGCTGGAACTTTCCAGAGGCTGAGACTGTGAGGTGGACACTGGGGAGGGTCCCAGAGAGCAGCCACGCAGGTGCCTTGGAGCATCTGGGGCCGCAGGCCAGCCATCATCCCTGCGTTCCCTGTGACTTAGTGCCTGCTCCGGAGACAACAGTTCCCTCCTGGTGTGTCACAGAGTCTCAGGTGTATCAGCCATCAACAGGAGCCCCACTGTGCCAGCTTCATCTCCATGCACCTCGGATGGCCAAAGGGAGAGGGCAGAAGGGAGAGAGCAGGGTGCAGCTTGGCGGGAGAGGGGCAGAATGGGGGATGCTGAGCAAAGCTTAGAGCTGAGAGGCCAGATGTGTTGGCTCAGGTTTGTAATCCCAGCGCTTTGGAAGGCCGAGGCCCGAGGATCACCTGAGGCCAGGCGTTTGAGACCAGCCTGGTCAACATGGTGAAACCCCATCTCTTAAAAATACAAAAAATTAGTCGGGCTGGTTGTGTGAGCCTGTAATCCCAGCTACTCCGGAGGCTGAGGTGGGAGAATTGCTTGAACCTGGGAGGCGGGGTTGCAGTGAGCTGAGATCGTGACTGTACAGAGGAGGAGGTTCTTTTAGAAAAAAAAAAAAAAAAAAAAAAAAAAGCTGGTCCTCTGCAGAGGGGGCCGCCTTTTGCGCTGTCTTCCAGAAAGGCCATAGAGACAGAGCTCTTCAGGAGCTTTGCGGGGGAAAAGACCCCCAGCGTCTCCACCTCATTTTCTCAGCACAGGATCCCTACTGTGGGTTTAACTTTGGGTCTCACCCCTTCCTAGAGCTTGCCGCGTTCCTCAGCAGGTGGCAAACCCTGGGGGAGCTGGAGGTCTGGAAGAGACGTTGGATGGGAGCCCTGGCCTTCGTGTGCTGCTTGTCCCCAGGCTCCTAGCTGGGGGAGGGGGGGCGGCTTTCCTGCCTTTGCAGCTGTTCAGGGCTGGCAGTGGGGCATGGGCACGGCTCACTTGGTAAAAGGAGGTGCCCCGTCCGACTGGAGGGAGGTCCGGCTGGAGGCCTCTCGGGAGCCCTGATTTCTTGGAGCAGGAACCTGCCAGAGGCTCCTGTCGAGTTCACTTACGTCTCTTCTGGCCTGCCTTTGTCGCCTTTAGGAGCCTGGTTCTGGACGGATGACATAGAGGACCACGAGGAGGAAGACGACGAGGACTTCCTGGCGGAGGTGGCTGAGGAGGAGAACGAGCCCCCGGGACTTTGGTCTGCTGCCTACGGCGTGGGGGACGTGCCTGGGACGTGGGGCCCCGACGACTCGGATTCGGCGCAGACTCCGGAGGGGTGGGGACCTGACCCAGGCGGCCTCGGAGTCCTGGCCGACGGCTCCGAAGCAAAGCCTTTCCTGCCTGGCCGGGAGCAGGGAGCGAACCTGCTGTCGCCCTGGGCGTTCCCGGCCACGGTGGACACGCCGGCCGGTCGGCCCGAGACCACGTGCGATGTGTGCGGCAAGGTCTTCCCGCACCGCTCGCGGCTGGCCAAGCACCAGCGCTACCACGCGGCCGTCAAGCCCTTCGGCTGTGAGGAGTGCGGTAAGGGCTTCGTGTACCGCTCGCACCTGGCCATCCACCAGCGCACGCACACTGGCGAGAAGCCCTTTCCGTGCCCGGACTGCGGCAAGCGCTTCGTCTACAAGTCGCACCTGGTGACGCACCGACGCATTCACACTGGCGAGCGGCCGTACCGCTGCGCCTTCTGTGGCGCGGGCTTCGGGCGACGCTCCTACCTGGTCACACACCAGCGCACGCACACGGGCGAGCGGCCCTACCTGTGTCCGCACTGCGGCCGCAGCTTCAGCCAGAGCTCGGCGCTCGCGCGGCACCAGGCGGTGCACACCGCTGACCGCCCGCACTGCTGTCCCGACTGCGGCCAGGCCTTCCGCCTGCGCGCCGACTTCCAGCGCCACCGGCGCGGCGGGGCCTGCGCGGAGCCGGGTGGCGACGGCCCCCGGCGGGAACCCAGCGAGACCGCGGCCGCCGCAGTGCCGGAGGACACTGAACCCGGGCCTGAGGGGCCGGAGCGGCCTGAAGCCGGCGAGGCAGACGGAGAGGTGGAGGCCGCAGCCCATGGGAGAGAGGAGGCGGTGGTGGTGGCGCCCAACCCCACCCCTAGCGGCAAGGCAGACCCGGCACCGGACAGGCGCTTCCTGGAGCTTGGCAACGGCCTGGAGGAGGGCGAAGGCCCCTCCTCCCACCCGCTGGGCTTCCATTTCCCGGTGCACCCAAAGTCCTGGTTACACCCGGACGGCTTCCCGATCCTGGGCCTGCCTGACTTCGGAGAGCGGCTGCCGGTCGACGGGCGTCCGCTCCCGGCGCCCCTGGGGGGTCCGCTCTCCCTGGTGGAGGGCACCGGGCTGGCCTGCGATCCTTTCGGCAGCGGGGCCGGTGTCGGCGGAGGTGGCCTGCGCGCGTTCGGGCCCGCTGTCGGGGGACTGCTGGCCGAGCCTGCGCCGGCCGCGCTGGCGGAGGAGGAGAGCCCGTGGATCTGTTCAGACTGCGGCAAGACGTTCGGGCGCCGCGCGGCGCTGGCCAAGCACCAGCGCTACCACGCGGGCGAGCGGCCTCACCGGTGCGCCGACTGCGGCAAGAGCTTCGTATACGGCTCGCACCTTGCGCGCCACCGGCGCACGCACACCGGCGAGCGGCCCTTCCCTTGCCCCGAGTGCGGTGCGCGCTTCGCCCGCGGCTCGCACCTGGCGGCGCACGTGCGCGGCCACACCGGCGAGAAGCCGTTTGTGTGCGGCGTCTGCGGCGCGGGCTTCAGCCGCCGCGCACACCTGACGGCGCACGGACGCGCGCACACTGGAGAGCGGCCCTACGCGTGTGGCGAGTGCGGCCGGCGCTTTGGGCAGAGCGCGGCGCTGACCCGGCACCAGTGGGCGCACGCGGAGGAGAAGCCGCACCGCTGCCCCGACTGCGGCAAGGGCTTCGGCCACAGCTCGGACTTCAAGCGGCACCGGCGCACGCATACGGGCGAGAAGCCCTTCCGATGCGCCGACTGCGGCCGCGGCTTCGCGCAGCGCTCCAACCTGGCCAAGCACCGGCGCGGCCACACTGGCGAGCGCCCCTTCCCGTGCCCCGAGTGCGGCAAACGCTTCTCGCAGCGCTCGGTGCTGGTCACGCATCAGCGCACGCACACGGGCGAGCGGCCCTACGCCTGCGCCAACTGCGGTCGCCGCTTCTCGCAGAGCTCGCACCTGCTCACCCACATGAAGACGCACCGCGGCGCCGCTGCCGCACCGGGCTCGGGTTCAGCCCCGGCCCCCGCGTCCAAGCCCGAGGCGCCGGCCAAAGGGCCGCCCAGCGCCGGCCCGGGGGAGCGCGGCAGCGCCCTGCTGGAGTTCGCGGGCGGCACGAGCTTCGGCTCAGAGCATCAGGCCGCGTTCGCCGGGCCTTCGGGCGCCTACCGGGAGGGCGTCCTGTGAGGGGTCCGGGGCCAACAGCAGCGCAGCCCTCCGGGCCACCGGCCCCTCCCCTGGACCGCCGGCCCCTTGCTTCTCAGGCCCGGGGGGCTGAGGGTCCCAGTCCTGGGTGCCGTGCCTTCCCTCAGCCCCCGCCCCGCGGCCCCGGGTTTCCCGCCCGCCGGGTCCCTGAGCTCGGCCAGAGACCTGAAGAGCGCTGGGGAGAAGAGCAGTGCAGAGGCAGCGAGGCCGGGGCGCCACCCCCATGGAGACTGCGATATACCCTGGGTGGGCCTGGGCTGTGAAGCAGGGCGGTCGCTGGTGGGCGATGCTATTTATTTCACTCAGATTCCGACTTAGGTGGCTGGGGGAGGAAGGGAATTGTGTGTTGGTAATCGGGTGTGGCGGCGAGGGAGGGGAAGCCCTTGAGCCACAGGAGGGTGGGGCCCGGCCACCCACGTGGGCCAGCGGGATGCCTGGGAGGCCGGTGGGTTTGGCTGACCACTTCTTCCCATTCCTTAGTGGGAGACTTAGGGCCTTCCGGTCATCCAAGTCTGTCCCGAAGGCTTTAAGAACTGCGCGTGGCAGGGGAGGCCTTGTAGGTTTCCAGAGGGCGGAGCTCCGGTGGGAAAACTTGAATCTTGTCTGCGGATATTTATTTCCACCTTTTGTATGACCTGAAGAATCTAGGAGGAGAAAGAGCCAGATACCAAACTTATGGCCGGGCGGACGGGTCGCCGGTGTTGACAGGGTTCCCAGGGGGTTTGAAGCCTTATTCTCTGGAGCCACCTGCTCTCCTCTCCCCACGCTGGCACTTAGGTCAGCCAGGCGGCCGCCGGTTCGGTTTTGGTCTCCGCTTCCTCTCTCAGTCCTTTGGTACTTTCACCTCCTTCAGCCGGAGGTGGCAAACTCAGACATCCTCGGGCGCCCGAGGTCCTCGCAGCCCTGAGCCCCAGCTTTCACTTCTCTGGGTGAAAGGCCGCGTTCTCCGGGCCTTCGGACGAACGGAGCAGGCGGACGCCGCGTCCTTGGAGCCCAACACTTACTTAGTTTAGAGCCACTAAGGTTGGTGGAAGGATCTTTCCCCACATCCCATAATTGGGGCCCTAGGACACCTGCAGGTCCTTTTAACTCTGCTTCTGTCATTACACTAGAACAAGTAGTGTTTCTGTTTAGAGTCTCATTTCGCAGATTGGTCAGTGGAGGCACTCATGGCCTGGCAGTTTTCACAGTGGCAGTCCACCTCTGGGGGGTGTGGACCTGAGCCTTGGCTCAGTGACAAACCAGGCACCCAACTATGCAAGACCCCCTGCCTGGTGGGCGCCCCACCCTCTGGACTGGGCCCATGGAAGCCACTGGGCAGGCAGCTGGGGTGTAGTTCATGTGAGGCCCCCCCTCCTCATGCTTTTTGGGCCACTGTGAGTGGGGCCAGGAAACGGATTTTTGGTGCAGCTGCATTCCCTAATAGACCTAGTTCCTTCCATGTTAGTGTAGACATGGCCTTGGGGGCTGAGCCCAGCAGCCAGGCTGCCAGGGTCTGGGGGCAGGTAGGAGGCATGGTAGTTGGTGGGTGGGAAGAGGGCCTGGGTGGTGGTGGTCAGAGTTAGCCTGGCTGGGTGAGGTTGTGGGGTGGGGTGGTGAGGAGGGTGGGGGTCCCAGGGAGGCATCGGGGTGCTGGGTAACGGCCTCAGCCCTGGGTTTCTCCTCTCCCTGTGGGACAGGAGCCTCAGAAAGGGCCAAAGGCAAGGTGGGCTTGGGGGGCTCTGGGAATCTCAGCTCTACCCCTACATGGCCAGGATCTGCCACTGTCCCCGTCCCTCTTGGGCCCCAGCAGCTGCCCCGCAGCTGTCGGCAAGAGGGTCTGGCTTTAATAAAGAGTGGACAAATGTGAGCTTCTGACTGGACTCCATGCTGTCACCACTCCTCGGAACCCGTTGGGGAGGCTCCGCGCGGCCTCAGGTCCAACTCGTTTCTGCAAATATTTTTAAGATTTTTAAGAAATTAGAATTGGTCCTAGGATGGCCCATGAGGAGTCAGCCCCAGGCCAGTGTGGCCCTGTGCTGCCCATGCCCACAGTTTTCCTGGGTGGTCCCCATAATGCCCACACTTGCTGTAGTGCACACACCTGTCTTAGGGCATTACTGTCTGTGAAGGTGTTGGTCAGGCTTCCAGAGGCCAGTGCAAGGGGCCAAGTCCCCTCCTTGTGGTCCAAACACATTCTCAGCCCTTTCCTTAGAAGCCCCATCACCACGTGGCTCATCCAGGGCTCACCTGCCCCAGTACCAGGGCAAGGTGTACATCCCTAGGGCCCCAAAATGCTTTCCTGAAAGTTGATTTGTTGATTTCTTTGCTTTTATCACATGGTAACCCCACAATCAGATCTGACTCTCCTGTCCTTTCCCTATGGGTCTGAAAAATAAGAACTGCTATAATCAAATGTGATCTGGAGGCATCAGAAGAGAGCAACCTAATATTTCTTCTTCTTTTTTTTTTTTTTTTTATATGGAGAAGGAGTTTTGCTCTGTTGCCCAGGCTGGACTGCAGTAGCATGATCTTGGCTCACTGCAACCTCTGCCTCCTGGGTTCAAGCAATTCTCGTACCTCAGCCTCCCAAGTAGCTGGGACTACAGGCATGCACCACCAAGCCCGGCTAAGTTTTTTGTATTTTCAGTAGAGACAAGGTTTCATCACAGTGGCCAGGCTGTTCTCGAACTCCTGATCTTGTGATGCGCCTGCCTCGGCATCCCAAAGTGCTAGGATTACAGGTGTGAACCACTGTGTCCAGCCAGAGCCACCTAATATTTCAATAGAAAAAAAAAAAAAAGCCAGGCATGATGGTATGCATCTATAGTCCCATATAGTTTGGAGGCTGAGATGGGAGGCTGAGGTTTGGCTGACCACTTCTTCCCTTTCCTCAATGGGAGATTTAGGGCCTCCCAGTCATCCGAGTCTGTCCCAAAGGTGTTAAGAACTGTGCACCTGAGACCAGAAATTCAAGGCCAGCCTGGACAGTGTAGCCAGACTCCATCTCTGAAACAAAGACTTTTGAGTGGCAGATAAATAGTAAGAGCTGGTTAAAAAATGGAGCCCCTTGAGGATCTTACAGTCTATTCAGAAAAGTTAAGTGAGGCCGGGTGTGTTGGCTCATGACTGTAATCCCAGCACTATGGGAGGCTGGATCCCTTGAGCTCAGGAGTTTGAGACCAGCTGGGATAACATGGTGAAACACTCTCTCTAAAAAGTACAAAAATTAGCTGGGTGTGGTGGTATATGCCTGTAGTCCCAGCTAGTGGGAGGATTGCTTGGGTCTGGGAGGCAGAGGCTGCAGTGAACTGTGATCCCTCCATTGCACTTCAGCCTGGGCAACAGAACAAGACCCTATTTCACCAAAAAAGATTTCCTAATAGAGCTTACAATTGACTGTCTAGCCAAATATTAAAAAAAAAAAAAAGTTTACGGGAAGAAAAATACCCACTATCGAATGGTCATAGAAAAAAAAGTAGACACTCTTTATTGCCAAGGAGGAATTAAACCCTAGTGACCTGTGAAATGTGAGTCATAAAAGGTGGCACTTATAGGGTCTCCTGGCCCTGAGCCTCACTCTCCCCTCTACCTACCTTTGTTAGTTTCCTTTCTCTTGCTGGTTTCCCCAACCTCCTTCCTTTTCTGATTTGTTTTATCCTGATCTTTTCACTTAATCTCTTCCAACATTTGCTTCTGTCTCCTTTTTTCTTTAATTGGCTACATATGGAATAAAGTATTTTGAACTGCTGGGTTATATCTATTAAATAAAGCTTTATGATCTTTGCTCATTTTTTTTCCTGATTATAAAAATACATGCTAGGACTAGGCACAGTGGTCCATGCCTGTAATCCCAGCACTATGGGAGGCTGAGGTGGGTGGATTCCTTGAGCCCTGGAGTTTAAGACCAGCCTGAGCAACATGGCAAAATCTCTACCAAAAAAAAAAAATACAAAAATTGGCTGGGCACGGTGGCTCATGCCTGTAATCCCAGCACTTTGGGAGGCTGAGTCGGGCAGATCACGAGGTCAAGAGATGGAGACCATCCTGGCTAACATGGTGAAACCCCGTCTCTACTAAAAATACAAAAATTAGCTGGGTATGGTAGCGTGTGCCTGTAGTCCCAGCTACTTGGGAGGCTGAGGCAGAAGAATTGCTTGAACACAGAGGGCAGAGGCTGCAGTGAGCTGAGATCACGCCACTGCACTCCAGCCTGGCGACGGAGTGAGAGACTGTCTCAAAATAAAAATAAGCTGAGTGTGGTGGCATGCACCTGTTGTCCCAGTTACTCGGAAGCCTGAGGCTGCAGTGAGCCAAGATCGCACCACTACACTCCAGCCGGGGCAACACAGTGAGATCCTGTCTCAAAAAACAACAAAAGTGAATTCTCTTACTCAGTGATTTTGAACACTTCTGACTCATGATCCACAGTGAGGAACCCATTTTCCATCATTGTACCTGAGTGTGTGCGCGCATACACACACTTAGTGAACCACCATTTGCCTTCACTGCATTTTCAAATTTCACCGCTTTAAATCTATTTTATTTTTTTAAAAAAGTCAACCTTGATTTATGATGAGTCAGGATCTGCAGTGTGAAAGCCATAGTTTGAATCCCTCCAAGCTGTGACTCATCACATCCCCTTTTGAGTAGGACCTGCCCCCAGCTCCAGGAGGGGGCAGTTTTCAGCAAAGACAGAGGCCAGGATGGGACCTTCATTGGGAAACACACCTCTGTCTGAGCTACCTGCATCTAATGAGGTGCTGGCCATGAGGAGGCAAGGGGCAGCCAGGACAGTTGCACCTTCCTGCAGGCCCAGAGCTCCTCTTTTCTCCAGGGACTGGGTATTGAGGTTGCTGCTGCTTTTGGGGACCCAGGAACTCCAGGGTCTTTCCTTCTCCCCCTTGTCCTCCTCCCTGCCCTGTCCCCTCTCAGAGAGGGAGAGATGCCAGATGGGTAACAACGGTAGCTAACACTTGTGTCCCAGACTGTTCTGAGAGCTTTGTGTGAATTAATTCCATTTCGTTCTCTCAATATTATTGTCGTTCCCATTTTGCAGATGAAGAAAGCAAGGCATAGAGAGGTTTGGTCACCTGCCCAAGATCTGCATGACATGTGACCCCAGTATGCTTAAGGGCACTTCCGAAGGTGCAGTTGAGGTGGTCGTACAAAGACCAGGCTACTGCAAGCATGATGGTCGCATACAAGAGCCTGTGCAGCCAGGGTGTGTTGCTGCACGCGTGTGGTGGAGGAAATGGGGCAGAAGCTGTCTATTGTCTGTTTCATTTCTGCCTGCTATATTACAAATGACACCTCCCACAAAACACACATGCACACTTGGGGTTTAATATCACAGCCGTTTGACAATGTGCAAGGATTCCAGGGATCAGGAACGCAGGTGGCCACGGCAGGGCTGACTTTCTTTCCCCTGTTCCTTAACTACTGGGGGACTTCCCTCAGGGAAGGGACTTAGCAGTTGCAATGAAGTACCTGTAATTGGGTCTGCAAT